GCGATTAATGTTTCAAAACATTTCGGTTACCGGTAATCGATATTCAATCGGTTTTCTAAAAAAGTTGTGTTACACCTACAAATGTATTATGATTTATTAATAATTTTAAGAAGTTATCAATAAATAAACTATCATAAAGCTAGGTACGAACTTAATATTATTTATGTWGCTAATTAAATTTTTTCGTTATTTAGAATAACCAATCTATACCTTAGGMGGCTTAGGGRAACAATAGGATTTTGTGGTTGAGTACATATAAATTAATTTTAATAATTGATTACAATTAAAATAATTAAATATTACAGGGTATATATTTTATGATTTGAGAAGTCATCTAATTGATGGAACTCACTAATTGATTTTTTTTTATCGGTTGATTATCCCTAGGGTTCAGGTATTGCTGTATTATGCATATTCTTTAATAATGACTACAGAATAATCTAAGTAAGATACACATTTGTTTTAAGATATAATGGATTGAAATACAAAAGTTTAGTTTGCATATTTTACCGTTTTTTAGGCAAAACGCATATTTGAAAAATTTAGGCAATTTAATTGTTATTTATAGTACATTTGCACATTTTTCATTTTATGTTAGGTAAATTTATTTTGAAGGTTAACATTATTTATTTACTTTCATACTTTCGGTCAATATATCGAACATACACAGTAATAATAAATAAATATATTTTTATCAATTTACTAATAAATAATAATTTAATGTTTATTGCTGTCAAAAAAAAAAAATATTCTAATTTAAATAAATAAAAGTTTTAATGGCAATTAAAAAAATGTTGAGTTGCATATTTTCGTCCATATTTCGGTTATTTTAAGTGCATATATTTGCATGAATATTTCCTATAATTTGCGTGYAATAAGTTCCGAACCCTAATTATCACATTATACCACGGTAACCATGTTATACCGGATAAGTTAACTTTTGACCGTTTGGTTACCGTTTTTGTAAATAAAAGTAATAATTTAAAAAAAAAAAGATAAAATGTTAGGTACAATTATAGATCAATAGATCATACACTCATACACTATATGTATTGTATATTTGATCTAAGGGTACCTACAATAAATATATTATTGTATTGAATTTTGATGCACACATAATAATAGCCCACGGTACGGAGGCATACGATTATCAAAAAAACGACACGACACGATGTAAGTGTGAACCACCTTTAACGTTTTATGTTAACTGAAAGATCGTTACGGTGAACGAWTTTAGGTTCTCGAAATTCCGGGAAATTACCGGTTCCAAGCCCTGGTGTAATACGGCAAACAAGACGGAAAGTGTGTTACGTCTTCATTTTTTAACTTTTTTTTTCCTCCAAAAACCTAATTTACTATTGAAAGGTCTTGACATCGTCATTAATGYTTTATACAATTTGAACTTTTCCTTGCAAATTTTAATTTTAATTTGGTAGTTGCTTTGTTCGGCAGTGAATCATATTACACATCTTGTAACTACCTACGCTGGATCCGKAATAGTCTTGTGCTTCCTATATTTTATTTTATATTTTTGATYATATGTGCCTTAGTTCATACGAGTATTGATCACTTTTAAATTACAGTATACAATATTATACGGGTACAATATAGCACTGTCCTTATCATACATAATTATGATGTTTATACTTGATTGTAGGTATAACTTAAATAATTAAAAAAAAAATCGTACATTACCATACAACCGGTCTAATAATAATAATAATAATAATAATAATATTGATTCCCCACAAAAATTTATCCACTTATTATATTCATACTAAAAACCAGGTTAAGTGGTGTTTAAATAAGTATAATAAGTAATAAACAAACAAGTTTTTTTWAAACGATTATTACTATTGCATATGACAAACGTAGGTATCTCAGTACTTGCATACATGATCTTAATTAAAACGCTAAGGTATATTGATATATTATTAAATATAAATCTTTAAATCGACACGTCAACCTTCAATCATTATTCGCAAATTATTAAATATTAAAATATCTTTATACTAATACTTATACCTGTATAATGCAATCAAAATGTCTAARTAATGTTAAATAGTATACAGTGAAAACCATCAAACTTTATGTTTTAGAATTAAAAGTTGAAACAGGTAGTATCAGGTACACTGGATTATAATAATACGCGTATATTGTTTAGAAAATTAAATATAACCATGACTTCAGGCTAATAACCCTTGTTGTCGAAGCCTCAAACACAATAAAAAAAAAGAAAAAAAAAACAAAGACTTAAGTACTTAGTGATGAAAAATAGTAAACAATATGATTTTGTTTTAGAATACCTTCAAAATATGGAAAAATAATATATATTTTCAAAAACGATAATGCTTTTCACGATAATGACTGTTTAGTGTCTACTTTAAAAAAAAAACACCCTGCATATTTTATATAATATATCATATTATTTTACGTATAGACTGATATTTTTTTTTTTAAGGTCATATGCATGACAATAATATCAGAATTTTCAAGTTTATTTGTAGCATTAATACTTAATTATATATTATTATAATATGAACTATGTAGTATGTGTTTCAAATGGTCGATAATATTTACTGGACCGACAATGTTTGTGAGCATTTAAATTACAAATATTTATTACAACAATAATTAACCCGTGAGACCTATACATATCGAGTATATATTTATGGCCGATATGTAGCGCARTTAAGAAGGAGAATTTAATTTATTTTAGACAGTGAAATCATTAAATAATAAGTATCTACTATAAATGTATTTTAATTATAATTATTGATTTTCAAGACTTTCTAGGTTCCAGAGTATCACTGAGGGGAGGTCAACCTAAAAAAAAATCTTAGTTATATGATTTAAAAAAATTATGAAACTGACCATTRCGTACTGTTAAATAAAATATACCTAGAGCAATAAAAAACGTATTATTCAAGAATTCATGAGTAAGTAGGTATTTAATATCATATGAAATATTTTTTTTAATATTCTTATTAAGTAATTTAAAATCTAATTTCTTATAATATGTCAACTTTATCAACCATTTTATTTTTCAATTTTTGATGTATTATTGCAATATGAAATCGAAACTTTTATAATAACAGATTCCATGATAGGTTTCTATAAGTTGTAACCATTATAAACAAAGAGTTGAGAGTTCTAAGAAAATTTCACGATCAAAGATTAAATTTAAATGAACATGTGATTATTATTTGTTTTTGCTATAAAATTTAAGTTAATGAACACATGCTTCKTAAATATAAAGTACAGCTACATAATATGAAAAGAATATTTTATTTTTGCTACTATCCTAAGAGGCAATAAAAATGAACACATTTCACCATCATAAAATATGTTGTTTTATTAATCTATATTATTATTTATTCGTAATAGCATATTATACAT